GAACATCACAGAAAATGCTCTCATTGCGAAAAAAAAAACGCTAATCTTTTATCTCTCCCTCTCCCTTCGCTTCACTCACACCCCAAACTGCAGCCCAGTCCCCTTGAAGGACCTGCACATTTTACAACACGTGTAAACATAACGGTTGTTTGTAATCTTATTATTTTTTATTATCAACGCGTTGCTTGTCATTTGTTGTCGATGTAAGATAGTATTCAGTTTGATCGGAATATTCATATTGACTATAACGAGCTCACGTGAGAGCTGTCAAACACACACACACTGCAGCATGGGGGAGAGGTGAGTCCAGTCAAAGGGGCTCTTAACATTCGCTCAATCTGTCTTTATATTCTGCTCTGTGTTTGTCATAAAGTCAGCTCAATGCTGGTTTTGTATCAAAATCTGACTCTGATGGCAACTATGCTTCTACAGTTGAGTAAAACTCTCAGCGGTTTATGATAAACTTTTCATCGATCATTTCTTGCGATTGACGGCAAGAACGAGCGCAGAAGCGCTGTCTGATTGACAAGCAGCACCTACATGTGACATGTCAAAACGCCAAATAGGATAAATCTGTGCCGCATTTTTAAAATGTACTAAAATGTATTATCTGTATTTAGCTGTTTGTTTGTACGGTGGCTCTAAACTGTCAAAACACCTCTAAAAAGAATTTTTCGGACATGACATATTTTTACATGTGTACATCAATGTAACACGTTTTATTCATGACCATTTGAGCTGGTTTCAGTCCTTAGCTCTTTAATTTTTGTCCTATTTAAATATATTTAACATGCTTGTTAATTAAATATCATTTTGTTATTTAAACTATTATTTTTATGCAACAATCAATGTGCATGTTCATTTGCTATAAAGAAAAGGAAATACTTTTTTTGCATGGAGATTTATGTGAAATGGTAAATATAGGTCTATAATCACCTTGCAATTTCAAAATCATAGCTTTTTTGCTTTGAGTATAGACTATTCAGTTCATAAGAGCAGTTCAATCTTTTATGAAGTTTGCTGTATAAAAATATAAAAATTTTAAATATTTATAATTATCGGCCTATACATATCGACTATCGGCCTCCAAGTCTGAAGAATTATCGGTTATCGGTATGGGCCAAAAAATCCATATCTGTGCATCCCTACTTTGAAGTTACTCTTTTATTGGTAGAACATGACAAACAATGCAACATTTCACACATCTGAGGTAGTATTTATAATGATAGATATTTATAAATGGTTTATTGATTTTTGTTTTCCGACTTCCGAAAAAAAATGGTTCAGTAAAACAGCATCATCTGTTTTAGGGCTGCATAATATTGAGAAAATCTGACATTGCGAAATATTCTTTGACGTTAATATACTTTGTGATATGGATATAATTTGTTATTTTAGATTGATTGGGATGATTCTGTATGTGGGTAAATGTAATAAACAATATGCATAGTTAAATACAACATGCGTAATTAAATACAACTGAGGAAAGCTATACAGTAAATAAACAGTGCTTTGTGGTTTTCTTTGGAGTCTAACAGCATCCAAATTTATTTATTCAATTTATTATTGAATAATCAAAAGTATAGTTTTATAAGTGCCCTAGAGTTGAATATCTGTTGAATCTGAGTCTGGTGATTAGCACATTTAGCTTAACTTAGCATAAATCATTGAACCAGATTAGATTTAAAAAATAATAAAAGAGGTGTTTTGATAATTTTTCTATTTAAAGCTTGACTCATCTGTTGTTGCATTGTGTACTGGGAGTAAATAAAATGTAATAAACAATATACAAGCATATGTTACCCAAATGTTTTAAATTAGCTTGAAAGTCTTCAGTCACAGGCCTTAAAAACAAATGCAAATATTTTGCTTTTTCTTATATTAAAATGATAATATTGATAATATCATACATCATAGGCAAAATCTTTGAACCAAGAAGGTTGCTGGAAAAATGAAAGTATAAATGAACTGCTGAGTCATGTTGAGTGCAATAGTACTGAAAAAAACAAGCAGATGTTTTACCTTGAGAATTTTTGGAAAGGGCTTTTGGGGTGAACCAGATACAACAATGCCCTGTAAAAAAAATATGAAAAGTTCAGATGCTGAACCCCACTTCTAATGACAGCAAATGACATTGAGCGAATACTTTAGACACGTAGTACATGTTCAACAACTGGTTTTACTTTAAAATCATCTAAAGCATCATCACATTCAGAAAAAAAAAAAACAGTTTGTTGGCAAACTCTACTTGCCTTTCACAGCAAAAGCAGCTATGTCTTGAGAACCATATGTTTTCAATGTAACGGCGCACTGATACACTGGGTTTTATGAGGAAACTGTTTTATTCTGCTTCTGAATTAGATTTTAAAAGATGGAGTTTGATTAACATGAGGAGACTGTCCTACTGTCAGTGAATGGCAAATAAAAATGTTTCTTACCAGAAACGCTATTTCAAATGAGTCCGATTTACTGTACACTAAACAGCAACTACGTTTTACCAAAGGCGAAGTTAAGATGTTCCTTTATCCCACATTGATGCTTTGTGGATAAACTAGAGATGAAAAAGAGACCAAGACCTTGAGTATAGTGAAAATTAATGAATGAGAGCTTCTAAAATTGTGTGAGGCATCCACTTTTTGCCCTGTTGGCCTACCTTGTGTTTTATTTGTTAATTTAAGCTATGTTTAGAGATAAATATAATTTATAAACTATACATTATTTATATTACTTTATATTGCCTATACAACACGTCTGATAAACATTTTATATTAATGGGCAATGCACAAATATTGATGTTTCACAGTGTTTTTACACTACATTATTTGAATCTAACAAGCTTTGTTGACAATGTTTGCAGTGTTTACATTGCTCTACGTATAGTAAATTTAAATCCCAAATATCAGAAATGACATGTTAAGATTAAATTAATGTAAATTTTAATGTTATTGATTGATGCACTTACTTGACAGATTTATGCATATTTAAGTAAAGGTGGTTTGTGTACAGTTTTTAATGTTTGGTAAAATAGAATTTAGTAATTTTTCAACTAAATATACTCTTGTCCTGATAAGTACATTTAGAGTTGGAGTTTTTTTGCAAGAAAAGCAAAAGTGGATTTAGCTGATTTGGCTGCAAAAGAAAATCTGCCTTGTTGTATATATATATATATATATAGTTAACAGTTTTTTGTATTTATTTTTTCCTGTTTGTTTATGCTTTTGATTTGCATTATGGGACCCTGATCTTTCTTTCAACAACTTTTAACCTTGAAAGTAAAAAAAAAAACTGACCTTTTAATTAACATTTTGAATAGTTTAAAATGATCTGCTGTCTGGGTTGTGTCGTATATTATTGTACAAAAATCTTAAAGACTTATTTCTCAATATGTTATTTCTTATACATTATAGTATTTCAAACTCAATAAAATCACTTTGTTAAACTATATAGTTTATTTTCAACATCAAAAGTCGACAGAGCAGAATTAAAGATCCCATAATGCAATTCACAGCAATAAATAAATAGAAAACACTTAAAACATGTTTTATTTATTTATTTATTTATTTATTTTTTTACAGTGTGGCCCATATGTAGGCTCACCACTGTTAACCTTTATTTAAAATAAGCAGAAAAGTACTTTACTATAATATGATTGTGGCACGGTGGTTCTGTGGTTAGCACGATCACCTCACAGCAAAAAAATTGCTGGTTTGAAATTCAGCTGTCAGTTTCTGTGTGGACTTTGCATGTTCTCCCCATGTTTACGTGGGTTTCCTCCACAGGCTAAACACAAGTGCTGTAAGTGAATTGGGTAAACAAAATTGGCAGTAGTATAGGAGTGTGTGTGTGTGAATGAGAGTGTATGGGTGTTTCCCAGTACTGGTTTGCAGCTGGAAGGGCACCGCTGTGTAAAACATATGCTGGAATAGTTGGTGGTTCATTCCGCAGTGGCGACCCCAGATTAATAAATGGACTAAACCTAAGGAAAATGAATCGGTGATAAATAATATGATTTTAAAACACTATAATATTTACTGTAAATAGCTTTGGTATTTTTTATATGATACCATTTTTAAGTCTAAAAAAACAGAGAAAAGAGCAGACTTTAGTTTAAAATGAAATATAATTTGACTGAGTTTTCATGTTCTCATATTTCAGCAGCTCCCAGCTCTTTTTTTCTAAACATAACAATTCACCATGAACATGAGAATGAATGGAAAGAGCTCCCTTTAGTTTATCTGTAATCAAAAACCATTGAGACGGTTAGATAATATTTATTAAAAGTTATTCAGTGACACTTGTAAAACATGAGGAGGGGGAATGTACTGTACACACGAAGAATCGAAAGAAATGAAATAATAGGAAATGCATCACTGTGTTTTGAATCTAACTTCATTACTTTCACATTGGGTGACATGGTGACCCAGTGGTTAGCACTATTTCCTCACAGGAAGAATGTTACTGGTTCCAGTCTCGGTTGAATCAGTTGGCATTTCTGTGTGGAGTCCTGTGTTCTCGTGTGGTTTCCTCCTGGTGCTTAGGTTTCCCCCACTTTCCAAAGACATGCATTGAATTGAATGAACTAAATTGGCTGGTGTGTGTGTGTGTGTGTGTGTGTGTGTGTGTGTGTGTGTGCGCGCACATGTGTGTGAATGAGTGTGTACTGTATGTGTGTTTGTTTCCCAGTACTGGGTTGGTGCTGGAAGGGCATCCACTGCGTAAAACATATGCTGAAGTTAGCGGTTCATTCCGTTGTGGCGACACCTGATAAATTAAAGTGACTAAGGGAAATGAATGAGTGATTACTTTAACATATACAGTATATTAATTTACAATTTTTGTGTTTTTTTTATTTATTTATTTTTTTTGAGTATGCACTAAAGATTGGGGTCAGAGTAGTTTTTCAGAGTAGGATGATTTATGTATTTAATATTGATATATTTCTAACCTGGTTTTCTCCATATGTTTTTATTAAATCTTCAACTTATGTTTTTTTTCTAAAGGTGCTTCTTCTTGGCTTGCTGGCTTTAATACTCACAATCATATTTTTACTGAAACTCCGCTGCAGTGATAAAGGTACCATCTCTGTTTTGTACAGGTTAAGAGTGAATTTATAACAGCATTTGGCTAAAAATGTCATTAATTATTTTAGTTAAAGATTGTCCAATACAATAATTGAGATATTGCCTATCCCATATACATTATGTTTACTTAAATTTGCTGGCATGTTTTAGACAATTGCCCAAGTGTTGAAACTAATGTTGTGTAAGTTACTTAAAAAAAAAAGTTTAAATTACTAAAACTGTATTCAAACTACTTCTCTAATGACTTTGTTTAGAAAGTAACTTAGTTATTCATTAAGTAATTTAATCACCTGACTCAATACTAACAATCCACAGAAGTGGTTGTGCATAAATCTTAATAAAAGTTAAACTCTTAATTCTTTAAAGGTCCTGTGAAGTGCTTTGAAATGTGCATTTTTTTATTTGATGTTTGATGTAATCTCAACCAAACAATTAAGAAAGGGTGGGGCATAGAGTAACTCCTCCTCTTTTAAAAAGAGCCAGTAGTGTTTTGTTTTAGCTCTGCCAATGAGTGATTGAGCTCAAGCGCATCAAAAAAGCAAATGTCTTGATGGGGGAGAGACATGTCAGATATCAGAGAGCAACTGATTGGTTATGATTTGATGAGATGTGAATAAAATTGTTGATCAATTTAGGTGGAAGTGACAAACCACAAGCTTTACATGTTTATATGCGTTTTATATCATCGAAATGTGAATTTTGTCACATTTCTGGGGCACATTAGCCTATAGATATTTTAAAAACTAACATTACTGATACTAACATCTTTTAAAGCTTTATTTTATTTGATTAAAACTTTATTTTAATTTCATGGGACCTTTAAATTTGAGTCAAACAGGATCTTTTTGTTTCATTTTAAAAACAAACTCATAAAATACATTACCAGTCAAAAGTTTTTTTTTTTTTTTTTTTTTTTAAGAAAATTATTCAGTTCATCAAGGTGGCATTTATTAAATGTAAAAAAAAATTGTTAAATATTTATTAAAATTTTAAATAACTGCTTTATTATTGTGTGTAGTTTTAAATTAAACTATTACTCCAGTCATTATTGTTTTTATTACTATTACCATTAATAGTAAAAATAGTGATTATAGTAATAATAGTAATAATATTAATAATAATAAAAAAGGTCATGCGACTGAAGACTAGAGTAATGAAGCTGAAAATTAATCTTTAAAATCACTGGAATAATTAAATTAAATTATAAACCACTAATGGAAAGTTATTTTATAGTGCAATAACAATTCACAATTTGTACTGTATTTTTGATTAAATGAACACAGCCTTCGTGAGCAGAAGAAGCTTTAAAAAAAAAAAAACACTTAAAAATCCTACTGAACCCAAACTTTTGACCAGTAGTATGTGTTTAAATATACTGTACATAAGTCAATGACCCCATACAATTACACTTTTTAATGGCATACATTTTTAAACATTTCATTTCTTGCACAAATAAAACATTTTTTAGTTGAAAGACTATTTATACCTTATAAATACCTTATTTATACCTTCATACCTTAAATTGCTATGAACTAATATATATATTTTTTTAACTTGGGTATTTGTCTTAATATATGATAAATATTCTTTAGGTGACTAATACAATTTTTCTGCAAAATATATGTTTCTCTGAATCAACATACACTCACTGACCACTTTATTAGGTACACCTTACTAGTACCAAGTTGGAACCCCTTTTGACTTCTGAACTGCCTTAATTCTTCGTGGCTTCAACAAGATTCAACAAGGTACTGGAAGAGAGAGCTTTTGGTCCATATGACATGATAGCATCATGCAAATGCTCCAGAATTATCAGCTGTACATCCATGATGTGAATCACCCGTTTCACCACATTCCAAAGATGCTCTGTTGGATTGAGAAATGGTAACTGTGAAGGCCATTTGAAACAGTAAACTCATTGTCATGTTCGAGATAATTTGCGCTATATGACATGGTGTGTTATTCTGCTCAAAGTACCCAACAGAAGATGGGTACACTGTGCTCATAAAGGGATGGACATGGTCAGTAACAATACTCATTGTTACTCACTGTGGCATTGACACAATGTCCAATTGGTACTAATGGGCCCAAAATGCGCCAAGAAAATATCCCCCCACCATTACACCACCAGCCTGAACCATTGATACAAGGCAGGATGCTTTCATGTTGATGACACCAAATTCTGACCCCACCATCTGAATGTCGCAGCAGAACTTGAGACTCATCAGACCAGGCAAACTTCTATTGTCTAATTTTGGTGAGCGAGTGTGAATTGTAGCCTCAGACAGTTTCCTGTTCTTAGCTGACAGGAATGGCACGCAGTGTGTTCTTCTGCTGCTGTAGCCCATCCTCCTCAAGGTTGCGTGAAAACCCCAGTAGATCAGCAGTTTCTGAAATACTCAGACCAGCCCATCTGTCACCAACAACTATGCCACATTCAAAGTCGCTTAAAATTCTTCCCTATTCTGATGCTTGATTTGAACTGCAGCAGATCGTCTTGACCATGTCTACATACCTAAATGTATTGAATTGCTGCCTTATAATTGTCTGATTAGAAATTTGCATTACAAGCAGTTGGACGTAATAAAGTGGCCGATGAGTGCAAATAGATCTTTTGAATTTATGTACAGTATCTAAAGGAAGTGTATTTCAAGTAACTGTAATCAAATTACCTAAAAAGTATTATCATTTACTTCATCAGAAAAGCAATTTAATTGCAGTTTGTTACTATGTAACAAATTACACCCAACACTGGTTGTTACCTGTATTTATTTATCATGTTTTAGCACATCATTTGCATGTTTTAACATACTACAAGCATGATTTCACATGTTAGCTTGTTTTCATAGCATGTTATAGCACATCATAATTACTTTTTTTTGTGATGAATTTATGTGTCATTGACATTAGGAATGAAGGCTGTCATTATATTCATATTACATTTGAGATATTTAGACTAACTTGTCTTTATTTTGTGGTTTCTTATTTTTTTTATCTTCTCGGATAGTCATTGACAGCTGTAAAAATAGATGCATATCCAAAAGTCATGATGGTAATGCAGGGTGTCGCTGCGATGCTGCTTGCGTAAATGAAGGCACCTGCTGTCTGGACTATGAGGAAGTGTGTTTGCAACCAAGTAAGTTACATTTCTCTTTCTTACGCACATAAGTCTCACTTTCTCTCTGTGTTCTTTGTTTGTGCAAAATGCACATCATGAGTCACAACATCTGTTCAAGTTTTGAGGAAAATGTCTTTTTTTGCAACCACCCACATCACTTTTGACGTCAAAAAGTGTTATTTTCTGTTGAGTAAGTACGAAAAGAGAAAAGGTCATCATTTTTGGGGTTTTAGAAATCTGTATTTCTTTATTTCTCTTTTTTGACACATCAACAAAATTATACAGTTTTACTGCCAGTAAAATAGATGCTGTTTTTAGGGGACCTAAATAATAATAAATAATCTGATAGGTGTTTTGAGCAAAAAATTTATAGACACATTCTGGAGACACAAAAGACTTATCTTAAATCTTGAAAAAGGGGTAAAATGCCTTTTAACATCATACATGCAAAAAAATTACAATTAAATAAATAAAATAAAATAATAATAATTGAGCCAAATCAGTCCCTGGTGTACACAACAGATAAGATGACTGAAAAAAATGGACATCGAACCTTTTATTTTTTCCTTCTTGAACTGTTTTTATGAATGAAAGTAAATTACACTCAATTTCCAGTCTATTTCTCACTCAGAGTGTGGCATTAGCTGACTTAAATATACTGAACAAGTCACAAAGACAACATATTATAAATTCTTAACCATGCATTTTTTTTTTTTTTTTTTGTCAGTGTTAAAGTTTTGCAACCACATCTGGCCTTTCTGGTGAACTTCTTCTTGCACATAAGAATGAAACTTTTATAGGATAAGCTTGAGTAAATGATGACCTGTTATCAAGAACTGACATTTATGTTAATATTTTAAAGCTGCATTTAACAAATAAAAGGTAAGGCAAAGTGAAATTAATAATTTGGTAAATTAGTATATAGCTACTTTGCAAAAAGAAGATACTAGCTTAAGTGTAGTGTATGTGTGTGAATGAGAGTTTATGGATGTTTTCCAGTACTGGGTTGCAGCTGGAAGGTCATCTGCTGTGTAAAACATATGCTGGATAAGTTGGCAGTTCATTTTGCTGTAACAAACCCTGATAAATAAAGGGACTAATCCGAAAGAAAATGAATGAATGCATTTTCCATTTTATTTTCCATTCATTTTTGCACACATCAAAAGAGTATTCACTGAACTGGTCCTTTTGCCCAAAAAGAAGGATTTCTCATCATTTAGTAGCATAAAGTTGTGCCATATTTTGAGCTTGTGGAGAAAGGTTTGAACTCTCGTAGTGTGTATGCTGAATGTCTTTATGTTTTGTGTGTATTAAAAGTTACATAATGTGTTACTATTCATTATTGATGAGTGCAGTTGTTCGAGAATGGTCAGACAGGTAAGGGTTGATAAACAATCTAGAAGCATAATCCAAAAACAGGCAAATGGTCGGGATAGGTGGAATCAAAAACAGGAAAAACCGTCCAAAGGTCAAACCACATAACAATTCGTAATAATGTTAACGGCCACCTGGCTGCCGGTCAGAAGGAGACGGAGTACTGAGACACTTTAAAATAATTTCATATCAAAATAAACAAAACAAACGGACGACAGCTTCGTCAAACAGAAAGCGACAGCCACATAATACGCTTGGGCCCAGTCCTCTCTTCTCTAGCTCTGGCGTCTCTCCTCCTTTAAGCTGAAGGCAGGTGTCTCTGATTATCTCACTAACTATACCGCCTCGTACAGCCTCACGGCTCTTGGCCCTGCCTCTAAAGCAACATACCCCCCATATTATACCATATCATACCCCCCTGCGAGCACTCCCTGGGGTCTGTGCTTCAGGACCAGTGAAACCTGAGTATAAATAGGGCTGAGAGAAAGGAGCTGGACAGCTGACGAGAGACTGAAGAGAGACAGAGAGAGGGTAAAAAGGGATTTTATTTTTTTTTAAGTTTGAGGTTCGGTTCCCAAAACCCATTGACACTGTCCTCAAGTAACTGAGAGATTTAATGACGACATGCCGGAAGCCTTACGGAGGAATCTATCCACCTGTCCGTCTTCTGGTGACCAGTGGTGGCTATTCCATCTAAAAGAATTTTTTCCCTCCTGCTCTGCTCCCACTTTGGTGGTAGGTAGCAGGTTCTGGCTCTTCACAGACGTTGGTGACTGCCCCAGTCTTCTTAATTATTGTTGCCTCTAGCCCTCTTGGCACTTTGGGGCAGACAAACAAGTTTCTCCCCTGCTCGGTTAACTCCTGAACACTTGCTCTCCCTCTCAGCAGCAAGGGTATCGAGACAATGTGCCTCCTTCCTCCGGGTTTTCAGCACCACTGTAATAATGTTAATGGCCACCTGGCCAGGAAGAAGGAGGCAGAGAACCAACGCAATTTAAAATAATTTTATAACAATTTAAACAAAAGAAACGGGCGACAGCTCTTTCAAACTGAAAGCAACAGCCACATAATATGCCCCGGCCTAGTCCTCTTTCCTCTAGCACTGGTCTCTCTCCTCCTTTTAGCTTCCAGGGCTTCATCGTGAGCCTTAAGGCATATGATGCGTCCAGGTGTCTCTGATTATCTCACTAACTACACCACCTCGTATGGCTTTACCCTCACAGCTCTCTGCCCGCCTCACTTGCTACACAAACATTAAACAATTATGTAATGAATGCAACATGAAACCATATTCAGCAAAGCGTTTGTGAAACTAAGTGTATATATAGTCTATGGTGAGCTTTCAGCTGTGTGTGTGCAGTCAGGGAGAGAACTGGAATTGGTGTGTGTGTGTGTGTGTGTGTGTGTGTGTGTGTGTGTGTGTGTGTGTGTGTGTGTGTATGAGGTGCATGATGGGATCTGTAATTCATTTCAGTGGCTGAATTGTAGTTCTCCAGCAATCTGCAACTGCTAGATCGCTGATGATCATAGCAGTTACATGAATAATAGTGGTACATCAAAACAGATTTACTCATAATTGAAGCTAAAGTTAGCAAATGTAATGAAAACAGTAACAGTCCCAAAATCAAACCCCCTGTAGTACAACAATGGTAAAATGATGATGAATGGAAACCTAAACATAAGCCTAAAGGCCCGTGCACACTGAGACATTTTTTGCTTGCGTTTTCCGTCGACGTTTAACACCTCGTGACTAAATAAAGGACATCAATGCGATCGTGCACACCAACGCGCAAAATGCCAGGCGCAAAAGCCTCATTTAAAAAAAAAAAATGCCTCATGCTCGTTTTTTGGTTTTGACACGCCGCGGTAAAACCTTCCCCACCAATCAGATCGGCACTTTTGCTCACGTGCACGGAGCTGTTGAAGTTACAGTAAATAGCACTTGGAGGCGCTCAAGCGCAAAACTGTCAATGCGAGCACACATTAAAGAAGATGCCCAGAGGCGATATAATGAACGTGGAGCTGCTTATTGCACTGATGAACAATAATTATTTCTTCATCGCTAGAACTTGAGCTGCTGCTTGAACCATCAATGCTTGTTTGAGTCACCAGTAACTTTAACAACAAGCGTGTGAACTTCCTCTCCTCCTCTTCAGTGTTATAAGCAGGTGTCAGAAGCATAAAGTTGTGTAGCGCCATCTTAGTCAAGGAGTGATTTTGCATACTCTTCTGCTTGACGCCAGTGAAAATCACTTGGGTTTAAATTCGGAAAAAGGTCTCGTAAAACGCTGATGATAAATGCAAACGAAAAGCGTCCCGGTGTGTAGGAGCCTTAAGATTGTAACCAGTGGAATACCATGCCTGAAAAAAGAATCCTGTGGTTCACAAAATCAAAGGCTCGGCTGTAATCTAGTCTGTAAAAGCATTTAGGGCCATTGTATCATTAAAATGTGGTGGTCATTGTGGCCATTAAAATATAATTAAACATCATGAAGTGAGCAGATTCTGTATTATTAACTGTTTTTAAAGCTAGACTGAATAATGTAGATAACTGAACTTTGAAGACAATTCTGCAACTGTATAAAAACAGCTTAGAGATGGGTCTGTAATTTTCCAGTACTGTGGCATCAAGGGATGTATTTTGAGAATAAGTGGCAAATTTAAAGCAGGCCGAAACAGTCTTAGTCAACATGTTTTTTATTAATGTTACTCAGAATATCCAGGCTGGAAGGAAGAATGTCAAAAAAGACAAAGTAGGTTTCAGGTTTCATCCCAAAGGAGATTCATCTACATGTATATATTTTTTAAGTATTTTCATTCATTCATTTATTCATTCATTTTCTTGTCAGCTTTGTCCCTTTCTTTAAGTATTTTTAAACGTTTTATTGTTAGGTTTGTGCATTTCAAGCTGTCTGATTTGCAGTCCTATTTAGGGATTAAATACAGGTGTAAACAAAACGTCTTAAGAGCCAGTAACTGGCTCTTAAGACATTTTGTTTACACCTGTATTTAATTCCCTTGATCACCTGAGATGGTTGTTAACATACAGGGTGTAAACTTTCTAGGCCATGGTAACATCAGTCTTGCACTGTGCAGTTTAAGGAAGTGTTAGTTCTTTGTTGTTTTGTTTTTCTGGTAACCTGGCAATCCAGCTGTAATTGTGTGTATATATGTGTCTGAGAAAGAAATAGGTATGAATAAAGTCATGTTCACAGACACTGATCATTTATTCAAGGCTGAAACAGCCTAGAAAAAACCTTAGTTTGCAAACATTGGCAACAAAATTGTCTGTTTATACCTTCAACACCCACCTGTTAAAATTTCCACCATAGAGTGTTAGAGTCACTGTGGGTCTCTACAAGTTCAAGTCCCACCCTGTAGTTTTTTTACATGATGTTTTGAATCAGCTCCACTTTCCAACACAGTAACCAAGCTTTCCTCCCTGTGGCGCCTGCTGTGTGCCCTTCATGTGTGGGACGGCTGGATTCAGTGAATTGTGTATAAAGGTTCAGTGAGTTTCAGTCTGCTCAGACTCTTTTCCTGTCTCTCTGTCTCCTCCTGTCTCATTTTTTTTTTTTTTTTTTACATCAACAATACTGTAGAGCAGGAGTCTCAAACTGCTAGTGTTGTGCCGAGAAACGCACCCCTGCCATAAAATGTACCCACTCATAGACTTTCATTTGCATTCTCAGTCAACGTCAACATCAAAGGCTATAATTGATTAAAACAAAAAATTATTATTATTATGATGGATAAAACAAGGACAAGAAGTGAAAAACGTTTTTAAAATGCACCAGTATTAAGTAAATAAATGTAAAATAATATTGACTGTTTTGTTGAATCAAACTTGTGCTGTGATTATGCTTTAATAGCACCTTACAGTGCTATTTCTACACATACACGCATACGTTCATGTTTATTTAATTTGTTTGTATAATGTGTATACACTGGTTCAGTGATGTTAATATATGTTGTTGTTTTTGTTTTATTTTTATGAAACCTGTTCATGTATATTTTACATCTTGAATTTAGTCTTAAAAGTAAATGTCTGTATGCAATTATAATATATGTATTTCTAAAGCACTCATCTTTATAGCTCTTGTAATGTTTCCATCAATGCCATCTCAGTAAAGTCCTAATTCTCATGTGTGTTCTGCTACTGACCACACTGACCCTCTGTGTTTCAGCTCAGCTCTGGACGTGCTCGAAATTCCGCTGCGGTGAGGACCGTTTGCCCAGCAGCCTCTGCTCCTGCTCTGCAGACTGTGTGAAAGTGGGAGACTGCTGTGCAAACTATAAGAGGACATGTGAAGGTACATCACAGGCTTCAATCCTCTGTTTATATATTAACTGTCAGTAATATGAACAACCATTAATGCTGGGTTAATATTATTAGGTAGACTACGAGATAGATAGATAGATTGATAGATAGATAGATAGATAGATAGATAGATAGATAGATAGATAGATAGATAGATAGATAGATAGATAGATAGATAGATAGATAGATAGATAGATAGATAGATAGATAGATAGATAGATAGATAGATGGATGGATGGATGGATAGATGGATAGATAGATACAAGGTTTTTTTATAAGACTGTCATGACATCTTTTTAATCATTAAAATGACACATATCATAAATATGGAGATTTTATGCATACTTTTGACAGCTCTTATTGTGTCATTAGACACATTAGACTCTGCAATGTGAATGAAAATGTGAGGCGTATACTTTAACTAATCAGTCTTCATGAGCTACTGCTGTGTGCAAGTAATCAGTGGTGATCAGGAACTGGTGTGTGTGAGATGCCTTATGGGAAATGTAGTGCAGATCAATGACAGAATTGTAGTTCGAGTGAAAGTGTATGTTTTTCAGCAATCTGCAAGGGCTAGATCAATGCGTTTGTGACAAAGCCTTTTATAATAGGTTGTATACAGTATAATTGCTGGGGAAGTTGTGTTCACAAATGAGTAGTACAGTACAAAACATCAGTGAAGTCAACTTCCTAATTGAACAAATTATTCAGTAGGATAATTTATGACCTTATCAGCTCATTTGTTTGCTGTTTTAAGAAAACTTTATGATTATGAATGTGTACACCATGCATGACCTGTCCTGCCTTGAAATCTAGTGTAGATAAAATTTTCTTGGTGATTAGGTTTCTTTTTTAGCTTTGGACAGATGTTTCTGTGTTTTGTCAAGTGCCTCTGGCATCAGCTCTAATAGATCTGAAGTTTTAGTCTTTGAAGTGATTTGGGTCTGGAGTTGATTTCTGCCCAGCAGGACAGGCAGCAGCGATACTTCCCCACACACACACCACCCAGTTTATTTCCTTAAAAATATTTTCACAAATTCCAGTCTGATTAGTTTTAGATTTAGGTGTATTTTAACAACACAGTGCCCAGTTATCAGCTACATGCAGCTAAAATAGTTATGGCAAAATCTGTAAATACATGTTATAAAAACTAAAGAAGAGATGTGATTGCATGTTGAGAGGTTGTGATGAAGCTTATTAGACCCTCTTTGAAATGAAAAACTACCAGTGTTGTATTGAAATCTGACTCCCAGGTTTGTAAATCACACTACCTGTTACATGCTCTCAAGTCACACTTGAATGCAGCGTTTAAAGTTAAACTCGCAGTAGTTTGTCTTAAGCATGTTATTGTTATATTTACCCCAGTTGCCACTATAAGAACATGAGAGCTATGTTTGATTAACAAGTAGAAGCTATATGTGTCTTTACAAAAAAATTTCAAATGTTAGTATTTCCACAAGCAGCACAGAGTGACCAAACTTCTGTCAACACGTCTCCGAATTCAGCTTTAGATTTTGACTTTTTTGTACTTGGTGGAGACCAGTTTGTTAACCCTTTATCTACCCCACCAAATCCTAATGTCACAAGTTAACAAACTTAAAGCATTTTGAACATTCCATAATTTATAAAATGTCAGCCTCTACCAAATGGTTGTTGTTGGTTTATGATAAAGTATCAGAATTAATACATACAGTAATATGAAAAATCAGAGTGTAAGACCAATTTATTAAAAAATATCAATATAAAATATTTTTGAATACTAAATAATCTTTATTTTTTCAAGTATGCCATAAAATATTTTAAATTTTCATTAACCAGCTTTTTTGTTTTGATTTTCATTAAAATCAAAATCAAGTGTTGTAGTGCAACAGGATTATGTTTTTTTTTTTTTTTTTTTTTGTAAACTATCAATGCTGTGTGTGTAGGCCATTATTTAAAACAGTCCTTCTTAAAAATACTTTAACAGTCATTATTTAAGAGTCAAAACATGGCCAATCGTTTGATAGAGCGAAAGGGTTTATTAGTTGTTTTTCTCTCTAAACATGTTTTCACTACTCATGCGGAGATGTGCTAAAGAAAAAAAAACTAAATGCCTAAACTTTTGCACAGTACTGTAAGATGCAGAATCCAGGATAAGAACAAAAACTAATTTGATGAATAAGACAATGAAAGCACCTTCTTTGGTGTGAACAAACAGTGTCAACTCATGTAAGAGTTCACGTTTGTTTATACTATTCAATTCACCTTTATTTGTATAGCGCTTTTACAATGTAGATTGTGTCAAGGCAGCTTTGCATTGAATATTATAGTAAATTGAAAATTGAAGTGTCAGTTTAGTTGTCAGAGTTTAAGTTCAGTTCAGTTTAGCTCAGTTCTGTGTGGTTTAATAATCACTACTAAGTGTCCAAACATTGAAGAGCAAATCCATCGATGCGCAGTTCTACTGGTCCCTAACTATGCAAGCCAGTGGTGACAGCGGCGAGGAAAAAACTTCACCAATTGGTAAAAATGAAGAATTAAAAAACCTCGAGAGAAACCAGGCTCAGTTGGGCACGACCATTTCTCCTATGGCCAAACGTCTTGTGCAGAGCTGCAGTCTAGGCGCTGGAGAAGCTGTCAGTGAGACTAATCTGTCCCCGGAGCATCACAGGAATCAGTCTCATGCTCTCCTCTCCTCCATGACCACCACAGCAGCTGCTCAGGATACGGCCTGGTCCAGGATTATGGAAACCTTGGGATCATCTCGTCGCTGGTCTTGGATCAAAACAGTGGTGCTGCATTGTCTCTGAGGGCCTCGGCATGAGTATTCCCAGGTGGAAATAGAGAGTAAAGAGAATGATTAGCGTAGCTGCTGTTCATATTGTATATAAACGAGATGCAAAAACCTGCATGGGGCACATTCATGTATCATACCGCTAAGTGATGCACTAAGGGTATGATTTACTAAAATGATAGGTCTTTAATCTAGTTTTGAACTGCGAGAGTGTGTCTGAGCCTCGGACATTATCAGGAAGGCTATCAGGCTATTAAGCTTTGAGTTTTGAGATCTTAAAGAATATGTTAGGTTGTAGCGAAACAACAGAAGGTTAGTTAGATAAACAGAAGCTACATTATTTAAAGCTTTATAGGTAAATAAAGGTACAGTATAGGTAAAGCTTTATACTAGAGGGCTTTTGAATGCTTGATTCTGATTGGCTGTTGCCTGAACATTATAAGGTGTTGTATATAAAGGCAGTTAAAGTGGTTATAGGTGGGTTTTGACCTCATTATGGTTCATCCCTACATTGAAAGTGTATGATCACAGAGTTTATCATACGCTCGGCGCAATTAGGCACAAGATGTGTTTGGCTGGGTTTGTTGCTATTTTCAGAGTAACGCAAGCCATTTTTTCTGTTTTGCTCAACTTTGTTTCAATAAAAATTAATTTGTGCCACTTTGTGGACTCATGGGTGTTTAGCTCTAGAAAGGAGTTGTGTTAGGGCACATTGTTGGTGAGTTGCTATCTTGACTAAAACAGACTGAACTAAAATAGACTGCACAATAGACAAGCTGAAAGCAGGTCTAAAGTCCAGCACAGAGAGCGATAGTTGTTCACCTAAATGCTATGCATTGCTTAAATACACACAGGATGTAAAGCAATACGCAATTTTTTTTCATATATAAAAAAAAATAAAGGATTAAAACATTACAAAAATTCTTATTTTCTACATCAATATAAAAACCACTGCCTCCATGTCTTCTTCATCTCTGGGAACTTTTTTCAGGGTATTCATGGCAATTTGCTTTATATTATTATTATTATTATTATTGTTATAATTAGTAGTAGTAGTATTTATTATATGCATACAATATTTATATTTGTTTTAATAAAACAAGCTTGTCCACCTGTTTTGGACCATGTAGGGCATAGGACGTGTGTTTGGATATAACTATATAATAATCTTTTGACCACACCTTGTTATTATTTTTAATTTGTTATTTTGGTGGAAATTAGAACTGAATTAATAAATAGTTTTGAAACAAATCTTTGCTCTTAACACATTAAAGTAAATATGTAAGCTAATGATGTCTTCAGTGGAGAGTGTTCAAAACTGTTCTTTTCTCCATTAATATCCACAAAATTAAAGGAGTTATTTAAAGAGTAAAAGTAAGGTAAAGAGGCAGAATGATGAGGCTCATTCTTTACCCTGGCACTGCAGATAGGCTGTTTAACTGTTTTCTTGCTAGTAAAGCATTTACTTTTTCTACCTACAATGTCCACCAGGTAAATAGCAAATGGTGTGACGCAACTGACTCTTAAAGGGAATGGGAGATGAGTCTCTGATTGGATTAATGTATGTTATTCTCAAAACACATCAATAAGTCATTAAGAGAATAAGTACAACCCTGACCATGCGCCAGGGCACAAAGTGTATTTTTCTATCCCTAAAATAGCGAATAGTGGATTCAGACATGCTCTTAATACCTTTGTGCCATGTGCTCTAGATTTTGCACCTAGCCTCCAGAGACCCCGCCCATTGACATGTGTCCTCTGTAGTGGACATTGCGTTTTCATGAATTTTCTTAGTTTTTTTTTTTGAGCTACCCTTAAGTCCTGTTGTACTGTTCAGAGGACATCCTGATCTTTCTAGTGATATGTTATTTGATTGGCTGGCATCCTAGGAACCACTTCTTACAATGCATCCAAAATGGCTCACATTCAAAACAGCACATGTCATACACCTAGCTTTTAAAGCTGTTAACTTGTTTGTGTTTTAAAATATCATCCTTTTTTTAAATGTCCACTCTATTGGACACCAAGACCATCTTAATGTAATTAATTACTGCATATTGAAGGAGGCAGAACTGAAGCAGAGAGGATTCTTCAAAAATAGTTTAGGGAGACTCTGATTTAGAGTCTGACAATCAGACAGTTAGAGAATTAGAGACAATTAGAGAATGACAATCAGTTTTAAATCACTTTTATTTTAATTTATTTTTGGATTAACGTCACTTTTTATGTAGTTGTATTTCTTTTTTTTTTGAGTTCGGCTCTCTTTCAGACTCTTTCAGGTATTTCAATACAAAAAGAAACAATGGCGTTATTTTGTTTTTGTTACATTAATATTATATTAATATCCTTTTACAGCCATATCCTGTACAGTTTTTTTTTTTTTTTTTCGTTTGAACTTAAATGGTCCTATGGCCATGCAGTAAATTAAAAATAAAAACAAAATGTAAAAACTCTAAATTGAAGATTTTTTTTTTAACCCAAAGGATGTTTGAAATCACAGAAAAAAGAAAAAGAAAAAAAAAAATCAATTGACCAACAAAAAGCATAAGTGCATTATTTTGCACAAGCTGTGGATTAGTGACATTTGTTTATATCAAGAGCTAAAAAAAGTGTTTAAGATTTGGCCGTAACTGAAACACTGGAACTGCTCTTTGAACCCTCCAAAAAACAGGCCGTCCCATTCCAGGTCATTATTCGTCAAGTTGTTTTACTTCAATAGTCTTATGTACACAGTCAGAGCATGTGTGTTGCTGTCAGTGCATTAGCCACTGACAGCTAATTATTATCACTTGAGAAGCTGTGTCTGTACAGTGTCATGAGGGGAATGAGATGGAGTTTTTTTTTCTGTAATTTTGGCTCTGTTCTTGATTGATAGTTTCAGTATGGGAGTTATAGTTTTACAAGGGCAGACATTTCACTCTCTCTCTTGCTTTCATTGTACTCTTTCTTTTCTCTTTTCACTGTTAAGTTTAGCACTGATAAAAGTGAATGCATCTGGCCAGAGTTTCAAGTTACTATTAATATACTTTCTAATTAATTACTTTCTCTTCCCCCTTGTCTTCACAGGTGAAAAGAGTTGGCTTCAAGAGGACTGTGAGGACATCAGGACTCCTCAGTGTCCCGCTGGGTAACAGACTTATGTTTATAAATGAGATAGTTGCGTATCAAGATCTGGATCAAGTTAATGTCTTCAATATAAATGTAGCATCTCCATTTATAGTTAATGATGGCTTTGTTTTCTAGTTACAGTGTGTGTGTAATGCACCTTGTATTTTAAATTTCCCCACCAGTATAGCAATTCCAGCCAGTTTTGACCTTGTGGGAACAAAATTTGGGTCCCCATAAGGAAAATGGCTCATAAATCACATACAATTAAGTATTTTGAAAATGTAAAAATGCTGAATGTTGCCTGTGAGATTTAGGATCAGGGATACGGTTAGGGACTGTACAGTCTGTTCAGCATATACATATCATTACACCTATTAGACATTCCCATAAAGTCATAAAGATAGCTGAACAGGTGTGTATGTTGGCCACTATATTATTTTCACAGCATGTTGTTTTCAACTTTTGTGAAATAGCAATATTTTTTTCCTGATATCACCAGCTTTATCTAAATCTAAAACAGCTGTCTAACAGCAAATAAAGCCAAAAACCTCTGACATAGGGATTTGTATTTTTAGGAAACATGGTTTTTAGATACTATTTTGCAATGCCAGATTCTGGTGCACATTTTTCATGAGCATGTGTAATGTTAATAGAATAGAAATACAATGAAAACTCTTTTATTAACTATTCCAATTAGTCAGTCAGATGTTTTAATGCTTTCCACCATTGACACAAGACTGTGGGAAATCATATGCTAGTGATCACACATTCTGCAGTAATTTGCAATATTTTATAATAATTTATATATTTGTTTTTGGAAGAAGTCTTTTATTTTCATCCATCTGTCTTTTATTTGTTTATCTGCTTACCTGTTTCTTTTCCATCTATTTGTAAAACTGTTTGTCCATGAATTTGTCTGTATGTCTATCCATCAATCTGTTAATCCGATTGTCTATCTATCCATCCCTATCCAGAAATCTGATATATGGCCAAATATAGCTAATATATTTGAACATTTACAGTATGTACATTTTTGTGTTTTTCCCCAATGTGTGTGTGGGGGGGTGTTTAAATATAAAATATATATACTCACCGGCCACTTTATTAGGTACACCTGTCAAATTTTATCAGCCAATCAACTCAATGCATTTAGGCATGTAGATATAACGCACATCAGAAGGGTGAAGAAAGGGGATACTTGTAAGGTGTACCTAATATAGTGGGGGGTTGGGGCGCTTGCTCGGGAGCGATATTGTGAGACCGCCAAATCCTGTTCAAATTACACCAGAGTTACGGACCGCTTCCGCGATTTTTCCAGAAATTAATTACTGCGCTGCATGAAATCTGGTCGGGTCCCGCGACAATGCACAGGTGCAACCGCGGGAATGCAGGCCTATATCCAGAAGTATTGCTGTAACAACTGAGAGAAAAAGAGAGGGGAGGAAAAGTCACGCCAGCAGGTGAAATAGGCCACAGTGAGAGAAAGAGAGAGAGAGAAATGAAGTTCACTTTTATTCCCTCAATCGCTGAGAAATAGGGGCTTCTGCTGTAATTGTCAGTGAAAGACTTTCCAGAAAACACACACATGCAGTGAAATTGTTCAGTTTCTGCATTTTTAAGTAGTTGGCGCCTGGAGTGTTGTAAATACCCGCGCTCGCCTCCCTCGCAACAGAGCGTACATGAGATAAATTACCTCAATACATAATAACCGGTTATGATTATTACTGAACCAATACCAAATTGTCCGCATCTGCATCGCGGTGCACCGAAGACACTATTAATTTTGACACCCCTAGTATATACGCATATTTATATACAACAGTTCTGTTTGGTTCTCGAATCTGATTGGCTGATAGCCATGCGATATTCCCTATATAACAACACTTATACCGCCTTTTCACCGTTGTGTATTACTCTGCCCAAATAGAGTGACAGCAGTTGAATAAACTCACTAAAGGTTGACTAAACGTCACCTTGGAATTATAAAGTTCTATCTGACATTTTTGTCAAAATTGAGTTGAAATATTCTTATTAATTAAAAACTTATTTACATCATGGGAAGTTTATTTTGTAAGTTATTTACATTTTATGCCTTTCTATTTTAAAAAAATGTTACACACATATGGTCCGATGAGACATAATGTCACTATCTGTCCCTCAATGTTTATTGATGCATCAATTTGTAGGCCTGTATGTCTATATATTAATTTATGTGTCGGTCTATCCATTTATCTATATATCTGTTTATTCATCTGTGTTTTTTTTTGTCCATCCATTCTGTCCATCTTTCTGTCTGTATATCATCTGTTCTTTCATTCATGCAGTACACTCATATACAAAAATGATTCACTAGATCATCATTCACTAGATTGCCTACAATGGTCTATGTAAAGTAAGACCTTCAAAACATAAAAAATGTTAGCATTTTTTGATTGATAGAAGATTCAAATCTTCTGTGGAAAGAAATCAGACTCAAATAAGTTCATGTGGTTAGTGTCAGCACCTTCTCGAGTATTAATTTTAGACCACTAATCATTGAAAAGTTTTCAGCATCTTTTCCTGTTTAAACCTGTCCTTTCAGTGTGCAGTTTATATATGGAGTATGAAGTATATGGTCTGTTAAATGGCTATGCGTGTTTATATGAGCATCTGTTTAGATGCACAGAGAGATGGTTAGGTGTGTGTGTGTGTGTTTATGTCTGACTCTGTAATGGACTGTGTGGTCAATAAGGTTTTGCATTAGCTTTAATAAAGTCCCTCTGAATTGCATTTGGCTTCGCCCATAATAACCTTTACTGGCAGAAACACCAGTAGACAGCTTAATGAGACATGCACTTTATAAAAAACAATAATACATTTATGTTGCTTGGTGGGGAGGCATGTGCCTTTTACTGAAAGTGATTTGAAAAATATCAAATTAATGTTCAGGAAGATTGTTTTACAGTGGTCCATAATATTTTAATAGCGTTTAATTCTAAAAGTTATTTTATAATTATATATTATATAATTTATAATCATATAAAATTAATTCTTGAACAAAAAAATCTTTGTGCTCAGTTTTAACCTTTGTGCACTGTTCAAATTTACTTCCCTTTTGTCATGTTAGGGACATAACATGACATTATATTTTATTTATTTATTTATTTATTTATTTATTTATTTATTGCAGAAATCTGTCAATCAACCTTAGTCCTGATCAAAACTAATAAATTGTTTAGGAAATTACAAGATTTTAACTTTTTAATTGTCAAATTCATAATTAATGTCACTGATTCTGTGAAAAAAACACACACACAAAATATCATATTTTCAATATAAACACTGGACCTTTTTACCTTTTATCACAGTCTTGGACATGTGAATGATTAGTTCACATGAAAAATGTTGCTACACAGAAAATCTTTTGGCCAAATTAAGACTCAAAATCACACTAGAGTGGATGAAAATATCAGGCTTGACTCATTTACACTTTTTTTATAAACTCTTCATGTGTTCTGATATATAAGAAATATCATATATAACTTGAGTGTGTTCAGCACAGCAAACAACATTGTTTTGGATGTTCAATCAGTTTAATTGGAAAATACACATTGGAAAATATTTTTTTTTTTTTTCTTAAAGGGTTAGTTTACCCAAAAATGGAAAGTAGCCCATGATTTACTCACCATCAAAGCGATTTATCTTTCAGGCGAATCCAGTCATTGTTATTTTGAGTATTATCTTTGGCTTTTCCAGCTTTACAATGGCTAAGGGCAGAAGTTGTTTTGTAATCCGCAGTCTAAAACATGTTGAATAAAGCACTACCATCCTCAATAAAAGATCTCTTAAAAGCAGCTTTAGTTTCAATGGCGCATGTGCTTCAACATACTGTCCAGCTGGTGGCACTAAATACATCAAAAAATTATTCTTAAACGAAGAAGAAGAAAAAGAAAAAGAAGATTGCAGCCTCTAACCAAAGTTACATAAAACTGTATATAATGTTTGAAGTTAGGATAGTTTTCTTACAAAAACCCACAAGAGACCTATGTTTATCAATAATTCATCATACAGAGTACTTCTATTTTATTATGTATGGATATGCTTTAGGCTGCACGGTGGCGCAACGGTAGCATGTTCGCCTCACAGCATTAAGGTGGCTGGTTCGAGCCTTGGCTGGGCCAGCTGCCATTTCTGTGTGGAGTTTGCCAAAAACATGAGGTATTTACCTTATTTTTCGCCAACGAGTGGGCAAAGCCATTTGAATCTTTTTGGCTCGAGACTTTCGGTCTTATTCACTTCATTTTTAGACATTAAAAACTACTTGTTTCGCTGTTTGATGTTGCAAAATGATATTTTCTTATTACAATATTCTACTTGGTCTGTATAGATATGCAAACATTTGTTTGTAGAGCAAGTAGTTTGACCGTTTTCTGCCGTTTACTATTTCTAGTCATTTCTCCCATAGGCGACTTAATCCGAAGTTCTAAAACAATCACGAAAACAGGCACACTTCCGCATTTTAGAATAAGGTAAATAGGTTAATTGGGGAGGCTAAATTGTCGGTAGTGTATGTGTGTCAATGAGTGTGTATGGATGTTTCCTAGTGATGGGTTGCAGATGGAAGGGCATCCGCTGAGTGTAACATATGCTGGATAGGTTGGGGGTTCATTCCGCTGTGGCGACCCCAGATTACTAAAGGGACTAAGCCAAAAAGAAAATGAATGAATGAATGGATATGCTTTATTGGACTGCGGATGCCTTTTCAGCCACAACCCATCTCTGGGAAACATCCATACACACTCATTCACACTCATACACTACGGACAATTTAGCCTACCCAATTCACCTGTACTGCATGTCTTTGGACTCTGGGGAAGCCAGAGCACCCAGAGGAAACCCACCCAAATGAAAACCCTGTCATTAATTATTTACCCTTCACATGTTTAAGTTTCAATCTATTTGAGTTTCTTTCTTTTGTTCAGCAGAAATTAATATATTTTAAATAGAGAGGAAACTGCATTGATTTCTATATTATTTATTTTTGCTTACTACGAAAGTTAATGGTTACAACTTTCATCAAAATACCTTCATTTCTGTTTGTGTTACCTCCAATTGCTTTGGAAACACTTGAGGGCGAGTAAATAATGATTTAATTTTCATTTTTGGGTGAACTTACCCTTTAAAGCATCAAACTCAATTCTTAGAAGGCCACAGCTCTGCACAGTTTAGCTCCAACCCTGATGAAACACAGCTGATCCATATATTAAAGGTGTTCATGACTCTTCTGGACAGGCATGTGCACACATAGGCCTCAACCTGTGCAGTGCACATGCCCTTTTTTAGTCTTGGATAGAAAGTACCCTTCCAAAATGATCTAAAGTGCCACCGCGACAGTCTCTTGGATAGTCTCTGCATGGGGCTGCTTCTGGACACCTGGATTAGTTGGATCATCTGTGTTTAATCAGGGTTGGAGCAAAACTGTGCAGAGCTGTGGCCCTTTAGGAATTGAGTTTGAGACCTATGCTTTAAAGACTGTATAGAATCGCTTGTTCAAAATTTACATCATGAGCACTTTCTCATTGAGAGCTTTAGCTTTACTTCATATCTTTAAAATAGTGAAGCATTTGTGTCTGGTTGTTGGATTTGTTGTTTTGGCTGTGACGTTTTTGCCTGTAAACATAAAGAGTACCAACATCTGCTGTTCGAGGGTCATACAGTGCTCATGTTTCCTCTCGCTAATTTTACTCACTTCAACTGAAAGAGGAAGCTACTATTTTCAAGCATGACAAGCATTTAAAAAAAATGTTTGGTCTTGTGTTTTAGGTTTTCTAAATCGCCGCTGCTGTTGGTATCTCTGGATGGATTCAGGGCAGGATACATGAATGCATACAGCGCTCTGCTTCCAGCCATCAGGAAACTCAGTATGTCACATTAACTCAGTGTTTGACACTGGCTATGTAAATATAAAGATTAAGTCATTTTTTAAGTTGAAGATTAGGGTAATTTGTTGTCTAAGAAACAAGTTAATATCTTCTGTACACTGTAAAACCCAAAAAGTTAACGTAACAATCGGTTTTAGGAAACCGATTTCAACAAACCATTTCAGTTTACAAAAATAATCCTAAAGAGTAATGTGAACTTAATCCATTGGAGTAAATGAAGCAATTTGAGCACAGTAAAACCCAATAAATGAAGCGAACTCAAACCGTTTGAGGAAACCAATTTGAGTTAAAAAAGTAATCTATGAGTACTGTGAACTTACTCCATTTAAGTTGAAGTAATGAGCTATTTAATTAACTCATTACCTTCAACACTGAGTTCAAAACTCTTTTCAAATGACTAGAATTAGCTTTCAGTACATTTTGAGTTACAGTAAGTTCACTCATTTCATTTGATAAGGTTGACTGTTGTGTTTTACAGTGTGTTTCTAAACAACCGCTAAATTAAACCCATCAGTGCAAAATATATATTTCTTAATTCTGTTCAAAAGTTTTATTTGAAAAATAGAGTAAACAAACAAGCAGAAACATGCAGGTAATATCCCAGTGTCAACCCAGCAGGCACAGAAAGTCAACATGACATCTGAATGACGTTGTAACCCAACGTTGCAGGGACGTTGCATTTTGTTTGGAAATTAAATTTTGGTGATGTCAGAGCCCAACATCTGGCCAAAGTCAATGTTCAACTCCAACCAAATATCAACGTCTAATGATATTACAGCTTGACATTGTGTGGACATTACCATTATAACAGATTTTGGTTTCCATACCTTATGAATAAATGTCAATATTTGACATCAATATGTTGTTGGTTGGCGACGTGGTGGCACAGTTGGTAGTGCTGTCACCTCATAGCAAGAAGGTTGGGTCAGGTGGCATTTCTGTGTTGAGTTTGCATGTTCTTCTCGCATTTGTGTGGGTTTCCTTCGGGTGCCCCAGTTTTCCCCCATAAGTCTAAAGTCATGTGGTAAAGTGAATTGGGTAAGCTAAATTGTTCCTAGTATATGCGTGTATGAATGAGTGTGAATGGATGTTTCCCAGTGATGGGTTGCTGCTGTTAGGGCATCCACTGCGTAAAAAAATGTCCTGGATAAGTTGGCAGTTCATTCCACTGTGGCAACCCCAGAATAATAAAGGGACTAAGCCGGAAAGGAAATGAATGAATGAATAAATGAATGTCGTTGGTTTAAGATGTTGGCTTGATTTTGGATTTTGGTCACTTTACAACACAACCAAAAGTCAACATTATTATTGGATGTCACAGTAATGTTGTCCTTAGACGCAAGCTAGACATAGAATTTTGTTCACCTGACGTCATGACCTAATTCTGACCTAATAATAACATCTTATGATGTTATGTGCCTGCTAGGAAGAATTTTTACATTTTTAAAAAGAGTCCAAATTCAACTATTATTTTCTCTTGTAGACTACATGTGAGCATGTTTTAATTTAAATATTTTATTTATGTCAGAACTAAATATAAAAAATAACACCAACTTTGTATGATCCCTGTTATTATTTTTTAATTTATTAGTAAAATAATTAACATTTTGCAGATCCTGATTTTTTACTTTCTTTTATGTTTGTTAGGATTTTCTGAGGGACAAAATACAACATGTAAACAAGTATTTCTTGCTTTAATGACTATTCAATTTCTTTAAATAATGGGTCAGATGCTATCTTCAATAGGAATATTCAAACCAACTCTTTGCATCTCTTTTCAAAATGAAAGTCAGTTATGCAGTGCGTCTTTTGCTTTCTGTTTACAACCCTCTACAAGTTTCTGTTTTAATTGTATTTTTAAACATTAAGCAAAACCAAAACGAGTACCAAAAAAACAAAAAATGAATAAATAAATAATAATAATTATAATCAATAATAATTATAATAATAATCTTCAATTTAACAGATGAATTGAATTTTTTTTTAATTGTATGTTTAAATACATTTTTATGTTGCGTTTTACACTGTAAGAAGCCATTAGTTGACCTTACTTAAAAAAGTGAGTAAACCTGATACTTTTAATGGAATTATTTGACTATTTAATGTGTATTTTATTAACTATGCACATACTTATCAACCATTTGGCCCTATCATATACCCAGCGCATGAAGGAACAAGACATGTTTGGAGCAATTTGTTGCTATTTTTGAGACCAGCGCAACTCTAGTTTTCATGTTTTGCGCCATGTTGTTTAAATAGCAAATCCATTTGTGCCACTTTGTGGACTCATGGGTATGCTGGTCTAAAAAGGAGATTTTTTGAGACGCATTGTTTGACGCATTGCTATTTTGAGGAACTAAAATAGACTGTATTTAAGCAAGTTAGTTAGTTACACATTGCTTAATACACAGGATGTACAGCAATACACAAATGTCTATACATATGAAAAAAAAATTAAGGGATTAAATTTTTTATTGACATTTTTTAATAATTTTTTTTAAATATATTGTCAGGGTTTGTGTTATGAAAACATTGTAATAATCTGCAAGCACATTTTATGTTATTTTACAGACTCATTTCTCTCTGCATTATTATAGTTTCGTATAATTTTAAACATAGAGAGATCAACATCGCATAATGGAGTTCACATAAACAGAAAACACTAAGAAAACAGAAAATCACAAAGTGCGAAAACTGTTAATTAACGTATTTTTACTGTGTAGTTTTAGCTTATTGTCCAAGATAAAGCAGTTATATTCTTCCTTTGAATGTATAGTGGTTTCAAGATGGCAAATTTTTGTTAATCTGATGTTGCTTCCACAGGAGAATGTGGTACCTCCACCCCATATATGCGACCTGCTTATCCCACTAAGACCTTCCCGAATCATTACACCATAGTGACAGTAAGTAACAGGTAGAAATGAATCCACAATGATTCATGAAGATACACACACACATGCCAAAATGTAATGGCCTATTTGGGGTTGAGGCATTCTATATTAGACAGTTTGCTTGTGTTTGATTTGAATCACTTACTATTTAGAATAGTGAAGGTTAGACAATTAAGCTGATGATACACAGGGCAGCTTTTTGAGCAATGTTTCTGGACAATAATGCAAAGCGATGTTGTTTGGCTAAATTCCTAATGAAAATGGACAACATAATTCTATTTGCACCCATTTGCCTTTATTAGTTGCCCATTGTGTCACTTGGTTGCCCATTGATGGCATAATTTGCCTGGCAACATTGCTCTAAAAGTTGAGCCGATCATCATCAGTATTAGTTTTGATAATATCTGTATTTGTATCATTTATAAAAAAAGGATTTAAGAAAATATAAATGTTTTTGAACGACCGTATATATGAGCGCAAATGCATTTGCTATTTAAACAACTTAGTGCAAAATGTCAAAATGACTCTTGCGCCGAGCTGAAACTACCAAATAACAATTGCGTCAAGGTTTGCGCCACATTGTGCAGAGTGTATGATAGAGCCCCTTATATTTAAAGGCAAATAAATGTCTGTTCTTATGCGTAAGTTTGTTTGCTTTGATTTCTAAAGTATTCTGATTAACAAAATGTTGTTTTTATGTTTTTTTTTTATTTGCAGGGTCTCTATCCAGAAACACATGGAATTGTGGACAATAAGATGTATGATGTCAATCGCAATGCTTCATTCAGTTTAAAGGTTGATGAGAAATTCAATCCTTTGTGGTACCAAGGTGAACCAGTAAGTAAATCTAAAAAATAAAATTACTTTTTTGCGTTTTATTCACATTTTAATTGTAAGATTTGGGTATTTGTCAAAAATGTTTCTAAAATTTAAAATTGTACAAAAATTGCACATAAATTGTCAAATTAGTCTTATTTAAAGAAAACAACCAAATTGTTTTTTAGCACTGAGCCTCAACTCTCCTTTTCATAGCACTTATATATGTTAGAGTTTAAGTGATATTTACATTTTTTAAGAGTAGGGTTAGGGTTAGGGTTAGCTCTTGTCCATGCAGTTCATGCAGCTTGTTCATGCAGCTCTTGTTCATGCATAATGTGATTGACTATCTCACTTTAATAAAAAAAATAAAATAAATAAAAATAAAACTTTTTTTATTTTCTGGCTGTTTGCAATATTTTGTAGATTATAGAGTTATAAAAATAAATTTGGCTATTTTAACATATTCTGCAGCCCTACATGTAATTTATTTGTTTTAGCAGTCATTTACATTATATGACATAAAATATGTCACATGAATAAAACACCACTTTTCAGAACTTCAGCACTCTTATTTTGTTTTAATTCTTGTTTTAATGTATCATTCACTTTCAGTTTTGGTGCTGTTCTGTGGGTTGTATCTGGTGGATAATGTCAGGATCATGTAATTTTTGTGTGTGCATCTAGTCCTGGTGTTGGATTTTGATGTTTACTGTATGCTCCAGAAACAAAAGCTGTGAGATCTGATTTTTTTCCCGTTTTAAATCCTGCGTTGACTCTTTCCTGAGCTTGTTTGATTAGGTGTGGCTCATACTTTGCTCCAATCTTCTGCTTTTGCTCTGGTATGTAGGTGAGCACTGTTTTCAGCTCATTTCCAGCACATTCTGGCTTAGCCTTTACGGTTCAGATCTTTTAGTACAGTTCTTGTTTTTCTCTCATGGGTTGTTCCGCAGCTAAATTCAGAGCAGATTTGGATTTTAAAAATTGTTAGTTGAATTTAAGTTACATTGCATCTACATGCCAACTAATTCTCATTAGATTAAAACTATACTGTAAGGTTTGGGTTAGTGTAAGTAGACATGTACTTTTAAAGTTTTTTATAGTCAGTTAAATGTCTGTAGAAGGAGCAGTATAAATAGATATAAAGCAGACAGTCTGCTAATACTCAAAAGCACCATCAAAATAGTGTTACTATGTTTTATTATAATTTTAGAGGCATTTGTAGAAAAGGAAAGGGATGATTTATTTTTAATTTGAGCAGACAAAAAAACTGGTCTCCCGACTGCCTGGTATCTCCCAAGGTTTGTTGTTGGTGGAGTTTTTGGTTCTTCCCACTGCTGATTCTTGCTTGCTTGGTTTTTTTCAGTGGAGATACTTTTTACAGTAACATTCCTAATAAACTGAACTGAATCTATTTGTATCATTGCACACTGTGAAAAAAAAAAAATGTTAACTAACAGGTTCCGTATTTAATGATTCATGTTTTTTTTAAGGAACCTGAATATCTGTGTTTTGATGTTGAAAATTATATTGCGCAAATAAGATATTGTAATAATAACAGAATAACAAAAAAAAAAAACTTTAATCAGGTTCTCATTAAATTGTTTTCTTCCACTTTTCTGGGGCTGGGTCACAGGGGCATTAGTCTCACTTCCTCCAGTTTCTCAGGTGGGATCCTGAGAAATTCACAGGCAAGCCGAGAGACATAATAACTTCAGCTTGTCCTGGGTTTTCCCCAGTGCCTTTTCCTGGTGGGACAAGCCTGGAACACGTGCCTAGGTGGTTGTCAAGTAGGCATCTGAAACAGATGCTCAAGCTACCGCAGATGGCTTTTCTGGAGGTGGAGGAGTAGGCTCTATTCTGAGTTCCTCCGGGGTGTTAGAGCTCCTCACCCTATCTTTAAGGGTGCGCCCTGCCATGCTGCGAAGGAAACTAATTTTTGGCCACTTGTATCTGAGATCTTGTCCGTTGGCTCATGACCCAAAGCTCATGCTTAATACCAGGTTTACTTTAATTTACAACACCAACCCAGGCAGCATATAGTCTCAAACCAGTGAAAACTTTTTTTTTTACTTTTTTTTTTACTTTTCAACATTACATCGTTGAGTTGTTGGAGGAAAGATCAAGGTCCCATAATGCAATTTAAATGCTTAAATTAAATTAAATGTGCACCTCAGGTCTTCATCATCAAAACTTTTTTATCTGGAGCTCCACAGGGTCGATATACGTAACTGGGCTGCTATCATCAAACTTTTGCTCACTCGTGTCAATGCCAAACGTCAATTTCAGTGGTGCCAGCAGTAAGATCTTGGGCTGTAGACAATGTGAAACATGTGTTGTTGTCTAAGTCCACCTTCACTTTCCTTCCAACATTTGGGAAATTTTTAATGTGGAGAAGCCCACCAAAGAAGCAGACAGTTGCATGCCCAGAGTGATGCATGGGGTGGATCAGCGATGGTTTGGAATGCAATAGTAGGGATTCCCTAGATTAAAAACTTGCTAGATGGAAACGTCACTGCCAAGGACTATCCAACCATTCTGAAGGACCATATGCACCCAATGGTTCAAACATTGTATACTGAAGGTGGTGACATGTATCAGAAAGATAACCCACCAATACACACAGAAAGACTGGTGACAGAATGGTCTGTTGAACATGAAAGTGAAGTTGAACAGCTCCCATGACCTGCACAGTCACCAGAACCAAGTATTATTGAGCTACTATGGGGCGTTTCCGAGGAGAGAGTCAAGAAACTTTTCCCTCCACCAGCACCTTGTAGTAATCTGGACACTATTCTGCAAGAAGAATGGCTCAAATCCTCTCTGGCTACTGTGCAGGACTTATATCTATTATTCCCAAGATTAACTGATGCTGTATTGGCCACAAAAGGAGGCCCAACACCATACTAATGAATTATTGTCTACTCTAATGACATCCTTTAAAATTTTTGATCGATGACCAAATATTAAACTTCTGCTTGAATAGTAATTCATGTTGGGTTTTATTGTGAGAAAAAAGAGTGATGTGATGGCCAGGATGTATATTTCAAGTTCTAATGATAGAACACATTAGGGTGGAACAAGAGGAAAGTCACACCCATCCTCTGATACACCCTTATCATCATCACGATCCTCTTAACAGTTCACCAGGACAACTGTTTATGTGGAGCACAGATGTTTAACCCTCGTCATATTAAGGATGACGTTCCATGTTTAAACCCAGTGTCTGAAATTGCCCAGCGTTTTTGTTTTCCTCTTTTGCTTGCTTTTTACATTGTTTGGTGATAATTTGAATTTCGAAAGTTTCCCTTGCTGTGAACTCTGGTCCTTCTTTTAATTATATTCATGCTAAACTTTAGTCCCACACTTTCGTTTTCCCCCGCATGGTGCTGAATGTGTTGCTCCTAATAGGAGATACTGAGATTTTCTCATAACAAGAGGCAGTTTTGTTATAAGTGATGCTGAAAAAATTGACCAATGGACTCTCAAATGTAAAAGACATTCATATTCAGTGGACGCCTGTTTTACCTTGAAGATTGGCTTCTGTATATTGGCCTGTACAGTAATTACAGAGACAGCATTGTGGTTTCTGCCTAGTTGCTTCTGCATGGCCATGTGTTTACTTTGCTTTAGAAGTTACTATTTTTAGTTTCTACTTCCAATTGACTTCTAAATGAATGCAACTGTCCTCAATACTGTATGATCTCCACACAAATATAATATTAATGATAATATAATCAAAATGAACAAAGTGACTAAAATATTAAATAAAAAAACTAAAAATAATTTGGTCACACTTTCCAATATGGTTCCATTAGTTTATGTTTGTTAAACTGATAATCAATGATACTTATAAATATGATGACATTTATGCATCATTAAAATCCAAAGTTGTGCTTGTTAACATTAGTTAACAAGTATACCGTGAGTTAACATGAGCTAACAACAAGTGGCTTAATTGTCATTAAATAAGATTAATAAGTACTTTAATAAATATACCATTCATTGTTTGTTCATGTTAGTAAATACATAAACATATGAAGCCTTGTTGTAATAAAATCTAAATAGTACCAAAAAACATATTAATAGATAATAAAATAACACTTCCTTGTCCTGAATTACCATAAAATACTTCTTTAAAATCATGCAGAATACAGAAAATTGCTAAATTTCAAATAATGTGGCATCATTTGTACACTACCTGACAAAAGTGTGTTGTCGACATCAGTTGTAAGTGCAACAAATAATAACTTTACTTCTAGTTGATCGTTTAGAAAAGTGGCAGAAGGTAGATTTTTCTGATGAATTGTCACAAATACTGCAGAAGACCTATTGGAACCTGCACGGACCCACGATTCTCACAGAAATCAGTCAAGTTTAATAAAGGAAAATTTATGGTTTGTGGTTACATTCAGTATGGGGGTGTGCGAGAGATCTGCAGAGTGGATGGCAACAACAACAGCCTGAGGTATCAAGACATTTGGGCTGCCCATTACATTACAAGCCACAGGAGAGGACAAATTCTTCAGCAGGGTAGCACTCCTTCTCATACATCCCTTCACATCAAAGTTCCTGGAAGCAAAGAAGGTCAAGATGCTCCAGGATTGGCGAGCCCAGTCACCAGATATGAACCTTATTGGGCATGTCTGGGGTAATATGAAGGAGGAGGCATTGAAGACGAATCCAGAGAATATTGATGAACTCTGGGATTCGTGCAAGACAACTTTTTTGCCATTCCAGATGACTTTATTAATCAGTTATTTGAGTCAGATGTATGGATGCAGTCCTCCAGGCTCATGGGAGTCATACACAATATTCATTCTGTTTCCACTGCACCGTGACTTTATATTCTATACTGTACATTATTTCTGTTAAGTGACAAGACTTTGGTCTAAGCAATGTCAGACTTTACTGTCCTAATTAAATAATTGAAAATGAAGGCATGATTAAATTTTATTTTGATAAAAAAGCGTAATCTAGAGGCCATTACCTTTCCTATAAGCCACTTCTGATACCAAATAATCAACTAGAAGTCAAGTTACTATTTGTTTTTCCAAAAAGTTAGACTTTTGTCAAGTAGTGTATTCTGCTATTGTTTATTTGCTGGTCCTTTTTTATTTCCTAAGTGCTGCTTTGTCAATTCTGATCTTTTGTCAATGCTCTCATTCAGATCTTCCTTTGATTGTCTTTAGGTTTGGATCACAGCCATGAAAAACCATCTTAAAACAGCTACTTTCTTCTGGCCAGGATCCGATGTTAAAGTGCATGGACGATACCCAGATTACTGGATAAAGTATAACAGGTAAATTATTTAATCATTTTAACAGTAACACAAATTTATGCAGTTTAAAACCCACAAAAACCAAGGTTCTGATTCTTTTAAATGGACTAAACTCATACTAAAATGTTGTTTTAGCTACTTGTAATCTGAAACACTCTAATAAGAAATATTGTCTTTTTCTTTGATTAGGAACATTCTTTTCGAAAAGAGGATAGCACAGATCTTTCAATGGTTGCATTTGCCTGAAGGAGAAAGGTAATATTTATTTATTTATTTATTTATTTATTTATTTACTTGTTTATTTATTTATTTGTTTATATATTTATTTATGTATCGATATGTTTATTTATTTATTATTTGTTTTTTTTGTTTGTTTGTTCTCCCTCAACCTTTAAAAGTAGTAACCTTCAATTGTTGCCTTCAGTCTGTTTCAACATTTATGAATACATAAAATACTGCGTTATTATATAAATTCTTAGTGATGTTAAATAATATTTTTTTGACAGGAAGAAAAAAAAAAAAGATGTTGGCATTTTGAGATCAGTGTGTCTTTTGTTTCAGGCCAGACTTTTACACCTTGTACTTCGAAGAGCCAGATGCATCAGGACACAAATATGGACCAATGAGTACCCAGGTAAACTAAAAAAGGAAAATAATTGTTAAACTTAAATATTTGCTTAGTTAGGGGAAAATTTCTGATTTAGTACATAGAATATTAAATGAAGACACCATTATAATTATTACACTTCATTTTTTTTTCTGTTGGCTCAAACTAATAGATTTATCATGAGCTGAAACAATACAGTTCTTGAGTTGTTTTGGGGATAACCTAATTGTTTAATATGATCCACTTAAATTTGTAGAAACAATTAAGTTAACTTAATCGATTTGTGTTGTGTAGAAACAGCATGAATCATTTGTGTGGATATATATATATACAACTGAAAGCTGAATAAATCCACTGATGTGTGGTTAGTTCGAACAGGATAATATTTGACACAAAAAAATCAGGAATCTGAGGGGTGCAAAAAAATTGAAATATATTTTCAATGTAATGCATTCATGTTTATTCCTATAGTAGTTTGTTGTGAATTTCTCTTTCTGGCTCACGGCACCAAAACTGTTGTGAATTTTTAGGACAAGCCAAAAAAACAGAACTTTTGGGTATCTTCAAAGCAGAATCCTTTAATAAGAAGAATGTGTGCCATCGAAAGAACTCTGAACTAGTACAACAGACACTCAGTTTAAATACATTTTTACAGTCATTGATACATGTAGGTGGGGGCAGACTAAAACAAAGCATACAAATGAAGTGTGGTTGTCTGCAGGGTAAATTGCCTTTTCAGCCCCAATCTCATCAGCATATAAGTACCCATTCATGATACATTTTAGCATGAAAACAATTGTGCAAATGGTGTTCTGGAGACGGAACCTATCCGACCAGTTGACTGGCTTGACCATTTGTTTGACAATAGGAGTACTTTGGAGACTGTCAGGTGTCAGGAAACCAAGAGATTTTAAGGTCTGTCAAACTCTAAAAACTAAAGAAAATAACTTTTCAGTTATATACAGATTATTGCTAATTTGGATTATATAAATTTATTTTCCCACAGCTTTTACAATGTATATATTGTCAAAGCAGCCTACCATAGAAGTTCTAGTAAATTGAAACTGTCAGTCCAGTTTTCAGAGTTGAAGTTCAGTTTAGATAGGTTCAGTGTGTTTTAATATTCACTGCTGAAAGTCCAAACACTGAAGAGCAAATCGATCGATGCACAGCTCCATAAATCCCAAACCAATGGAACAAACTTCACTAATTGACAGAAGTAAAGGAAAAAACCTTGATAGAAACCAGGTTCAGTTGGGCGCAACCATTGCTCTTCTGGCCAGATGTAGACAATATCACCTTTCAAGTTGTTCAAATTACCTTCTTAATAATGAATATTACTAATTAAAAATGAAATTTGACTTATTCCTAGAAAGATGTTTACAAAATGTCATCATACAACATGATGGCTAAAATTAAAATCTATAATTTTGACTTCTATTATGCATTTTGGCTATTTCTAAAATAATACATGTGCAAGCCAACACCACCTCCTAACAATACACATCATAACACATGATACAATGTATCTTTTTCATGTTAAAGAGATTATTAAACCATTGACGATGCTGAGGTGGAAAATTTCTATCTTAGAAATGCTTTTTATTTCCACAAAGTTGCAGCAAAACAACAGCATAAACTACTACGACAAATGTCACCTTAAGTACTGATTATGTGCTTTAGTTAGCGTAAATGCTCCAAAATGTGAGTATCAATATCATTTTACATGACTTTTATTGCCATACTACTGAAAGCAGCAGCAGATAGTTCACCTCAGATGCTATAAGTAAATATCTAGCAAACGGTTTGAAAATGAAAGTCAGAACTGTGACTCCAATGCAAACCAACACCATCAGTCACCCAGTAGCCTATTAATATTATTATATGCAGTTAATATTTATTGATTCGATTAAAAACTTATTTTTATTGGGAGTTTAGTGGCTGGTATTTTATGAGTGACTTTTAAATGTTTCTGTCATGTCGCATTTCGTGCAGATGCCAAAATTGATTGTCCATGGAATCTTGTTGATTGTCGAATTAAATGCATTAAAATGATCTGCAGCAATACTGTTTTTTTTTTTTTTTTTAAATATAGCTAATATTACATTTTCCCATTTTTTGTTGCTGCTACACTATGTATGCATATTTCACATGCACATGCAAAAAATAAAAAATAAAATGTAACAAAATTGAAACACACTGAAACTGGCCAGTTAATTAAAACAGTTTCAAAAAACATTATAATAAAGCAAAAAAACTAATTACAATATACAATTTTATGTAGTTTCCCAGTGATGGGTTGCGGCTGGAAGGGCATCTGCTGCATAAAAACTTGCTGGATAAGTTAGCGGTTCACTCCGCTGTGGCGACCCCGCATTAATAAAGGGACTAAGTCGACAAGAAAATAAATGAATGAATTTTATTTAGTGTCTGACACATTAAGTATTGCATTTAAAATTTTATTTTAACATGCGAACAACAGCATACAAAACATCTTCGTGCAGTTACGTTTCCAACAGCATAAAAAAAAACATAAATAGGCCTATCCTAGATATTTTTTTTACTTAAATTAGAAATTTAGATTAAAACCAAAACACTGACTGAATTATTTTAAAGAACAAGCATTGGCTGTTTTTTCCATTCATGTTTTTTTTCTTCCGTCAAATAAAAACAGCACACGGATCGCTCCATGGAAAATATGCATTTAATTGCTCTACTGTAATTCTTAATATATCATTATTTTATCATTGTGTGGCATTATATTATCATTATTTAAAGGTCACTCGTGGTCCAATATGCACGCTGCACGTGAAGAAACAATAAGGCAATATGTTGACTTATTATAGGCTATAGGCTAGTATATAATATTTTTTTTATTGTTTTTTTTTTTTTTTACATATAGTATTGCATTAATTTGCTTTTGATGTTTTATAGTTTATAAAATAAACACCTTTGGTGTGGAGTCATCATAAAAATCAGTTAAATCATTGGATTTGCTTGTAGGCTATTTTAAAAATGGATCTTTTATAAGAACTATAATAAATAACTTTAATTTTCCAAATGGAAAAAAAAGTTGTTTTGTTGGTTGTATATGCTACAGTATATGCTTTTTTAAATTGCGCATTCCCCAGCCTAAGGCTATATACACTTCGCATGTCTGTTGTTAGGCTCTTTTTAGAATCTATTCAATTTTAATTTTGTACCTGTATGTGTTCTGTTGTTCATGCAGGCTTAAGTTCATTCTTTAGTTCATAGATTTAGAAGGACTATTCCAGTAATGATGTATTTCAAGTCATAATCAATTATTAAAGTATAACTTTAACTAAAACAAGTGTATGCATTAATAAAACATGGTCGTGGAAGCGAATTTGTAATTCAAATTATTTCCGGAGGTTTTAATTCAAAATAGCCTAACAGTCAGTTAAACTATAGTATAAGATAAAACACACAGCTGCTTAAAAAACACACAGTTGATCACTTAGGCCTATTAAGATCTTATTAAAAAACTGTAAAAAAAAAAAAAAAAAAAACAAGAAAGAATGCCACTTTGAAAGAGAAACTTTAGAGAAATTTTATGTTGGCATGGGATCTGAGTGATTACTTTAGATCACTTGCAAATTCTCAGTAGCCATATGTTGTTAGGACACAGTGTAAGGCTGGTTTTGTGGTCCAGGTTCACTTATGATTGGTATTTTAATAGTTTACTTTTTTCTTAGCTTTCTTTTTTCTTGTTTAACATTAATGCTAATACTCTTATGTTATATTGACTTTATTCTGCAATACAGAAGTGTGCTTATTGTTTTAGAACTTTTGATTCAGTTGCTTGTGAGAGAAATGAGGAATAATAATGGACAGAAAACAGGCAAACTTCTCACTCTATAAACAAAAGAATATACATGAACGATTGATTTTTTGTTGCAGGTTATTGAGGCATTAATTAATGTTGACAGGCTGATTGGGATGTTGATGGATGGTCTGAAGGAAAGAAATCTGCACAAATGTGTCAACGTGGTTCTTGTATCAGACCACGGTGAGTACAGCATTGCATTTTCAAGTGTAACTTTAATGGTAAATAATAAACAATAAAATAAACATTTCAAGATCTCACGTAAATTTAAGTTCTTATTGAGAGTTAACTGAGGTTTTTGATATTGTTTTAATTTTTTTATTTGAAGTCAGTATTGTGGTGATTAGTGTGACTTTTTTGGGGGTCGTTGCCTATTCACTTTGTAACATTAGTAAACATTTAAAAAAACTTTGACTGCATTGATTTGCGAAAAGAGATAGAAAGACAAAATATGATTAGGTGTTGGCTATGCGGTGATATTTGAATAGTGAGTTAAAAACGGTGGCGATCCTGCTTGAATGGTCCTGGTTTAAGCTAAGAGGAAAGCGTGTGTTTGTTAATGTTAGTCAATGGAAAGTGCTTAAAAATGTTTAAAATTGACTTAAAAATGTGTAAGAACACTGAACTTAAAATTAGAAAGCAATGTAAGTGTTTTAGTAGTTTAAAGATACAAAACAGCAGTATACATAATCAATTATTAGTTTATTGTTTGAGCATGCTACTTTTGCCTTATAGAATTTTATATAGTTTGTATTTATATTTGTGTTGTCATTTTAATAGTAATAATCACTATAATATAAGTCTTTGAGAATGGGTTTCTCAAGCCAGGTAGCGCATTAGACCAGGGGCTCATCTCTGGTTTCCAAAATGCATCACAAGCTGTTTGAAAAACTTATCTACTATGATAATTGGTGATGAAAATAACTTATAAGATGTACTTGTGTTTACTAACTGTTTATTCAGTTAAACATGAATTTATGATCTGTAGGCCTACAGAAGCTCAAAAGAGCAATTTTTGATTACCTTAATCCAACTAAAGTCATAACTGAGCTAAACAGAAAGGGAATTAAGACGTGGAGTATGCATAGTGGCATTACTGTGACTAAAGGTAAAGTACCACACACACACACACACACACACATTGCGAAAAGTTTTTTTGTGAAGTGAAACTGCTGAACTGCAGTTAAAGCCCCCCCAAATTACAGGAAACTTTTACATGAAATCACTTCATGTAAACACCCTAAATATATTATTGTCTATTAAGGCAAATAACTACATTACAGATATTCATAGTCAGTAATGTCTTCGAAGTAATGCGGAGATTAGACTGCATGATTTTCAAAGTAGTCATGTCGAAGATGTTTCCACACTGCAAAACTATCTAGGTTAGTGTTCTGTCTCTGCTGTGTTTACACTGTGGATGGATCAGCAACAGGAGAGTTCACACTGCATGACTTTAAAATAGAAAGAATCACAGACAACTTTGTCCAAACTACGTCTCACAACCAAACAAACTCGAACAGTGATATGGAAGCAACGCAAGGTCACGTAATATCTTTTTTTATTATTCACTACATAATGGAAAAAGAAGGCTTTAGCTTTAGAAACTTGTGTTGCTTACCTGGCTTTTGAAAAGCATTAACATTCTCTCCTCAACTTTTTTTTTATTTTTTTACTTTTCGACCTGATTGTGGTATTGCTCAGATGATAGTCAAACAGACACAGTGCTCCTTTCTACTAGTTTTTCCTCCATTTCTTGGGTCCAAATAAACTGAAAATGAGCGATTTAAATATGAAGATAAGTTAATAAGTAAATAAATAAATATGAAAATAAATAAATATGAAAATAAATAAGTAAAAATAAATAAATAAATATGAAAAAATAAGTAAATAAATAAATATAAAAATAAATAAATAAATATGAAAATAAATAAGTAAATAAATAAATAGGTAAACTAATGAATTAAGTAGTATGAAAATAAATAAATAAAGATGAAAATAAGTAAATAAATAAATAAATATAAAAATAAATAGATAAATAAATATGTAAATAAATAAATATGAACAAATAAATACATATGAAATTGTGTGTGGATGTATCCCAGTGATGGGTTGCAGCTGGAAGGGCATACACTGTGTAAAACATATGCTGGAAAAGTTGTTGCTTCATTCCGCTGTGGCCACCCCAGATTATTAAAGGGACTGAGCCAAAATAAGAAAAGGAATGAATAAATTAATGAATAATAAAATAAATACAAAAATATAATAAATAAATAAATAAATAAATATAAATATATATATATATATATATATATATATATATATATATATATATATATATATATATATATATATATATATATATATATATATATATATATATATATATATAAAGTTTTTTTTTCTCCCAACACAAAAAAGATATTTTGAAAAACGCTGGAAAGTGGTAGCAATTGACTTCCATAATAGAGAAGTTAGTGGTTACTGGTTCCCAGCTTTTGTGTCCAACAGAAGCTCAAATATGTTTAGATTAAGAACCAGTATCAGTAAATAATGATAGAATTTTCATTTTTGGGTGAACTGTCCCTTTAACAGTTCAACCTTGTCGTAAATTTTCATCTTATTTTTACATATTTATAAAAACTTCAATTACATATATTTGCTATTACCTGCTAAAAACAAAAGGTGCTTGTTAAAAGACTGTATTCTCTAAAGGCTTTATCTCCCACACTACATGTCAAAGCATTATTTAAAGGGAAAAGCAGTCCTCCAATTCCCATCTACTGCGGCCGGGCAGGCACAGAGTGACATCTGCCTGACGTGTGTCTTCATTTGAGATTGAGCCCAATTAAAGGCGTGTGGGATTGCACATGTGTCTGCTGACTTTGATGTACGCCTTGAGGCTTGCTAGCATACTAATTTGGACTCTGAGGTTTTTAATTGTCTGTGCTGCTCTGCCTATGTGTGGTGGGAGTAATTGTGAATGCATATTGCGCCTGTATGTTTTGAATCACTGCACTACAGTTTCGTCACTGATGTTTAATTAGTACTCGCTCCACAATATAATGAAAGAAGTTGAGGTTTTACTTTAAGCTGTTTTATGTTAAGGAATTATGTTCCCCTTCGGGGGGAACTCCAGCACTATAAGTGGATTTGATGTTCTAAATCCACGTATGGGAGATTCGGTTCAGAAGCTACTCGTCTGAAAGAGTATTGAACGCGCCAATTAAGAATGAATTGGCAGCGCAAGCCTGCGCAGGTGTGCGGCATATGCAATCAACTGAGTATATAAGCACACCTGGCGCCAGCAGACGCTATCCTTTTCGCTTCAGAGACTTTTCTGATCGAGCTTCATGAGGGTTCCTCCTGCTGTCTACAGCCACTTCGTGCGAACGAGTGTCTCCCGGTCCAGAGCGAGTCCACGCAGTGGCAGATGGTCGAGCTGGGTTTCTCCCTTGCCTGGCGTCCCTTTGGGTCCGGTCCTCCAGAGCGGTGCGTATTGTTGCAAAGCATCCTAAAAGAGCAACACAGTCGTGCAGCACGTCCTTTTCAGGACGGCGCTCCGACTGTGCGTTTCTGGTTGCGGGGGTTTCCTGGCTCCGAATGATGGGCACGATCACCGCATTACATGTTTGGGGGTCCAGCATGTTAATGTGGTGCTCGGGGGCGGTTCATGTCGTCACTACGCAGTTGAGATCGCGGCTAACTTTCGTGAGAGAGCGAGCCACCCCAGTCGCCTCCTGTTCTGCAGCGGGCGCTCGGGCAGATCTGAGGGTTCCAGCGAGAGATAATCCGCCGCCTAAGGGCTCGCGGACCTCTCACTCCTCCAAGCGCTCCATCCAAGCTTCGGGCGCTGGGAGTGATCCGTCTAATCAGATGGTAGCTCTCACGCTCGCTGACACCGGAGATCAGATGTCCTCCGCGGCATCGGAGGGTGGGCTTTCATTGTCCGACGATGATCCGGACCCGCTCGCCCCCTTCGGGCAGGTGAGCGCTGTCAAAACGGATACTGAAACGGACGTGTTAGCCGTGCTTTCCCGGGCTGCTTCGGCCGTGGGTTGGAGATGGTTTATCCCCCAGCTCCGCGGCCGGACCAACTAGAGGGGCGTTCCCTTCTTCCCGGCAACGCACAGTAGGCTCACGCAGTCTAAAGAGCACCTTTTTTCTGCTTGTGCTGCGTGTCCCTCCACCCTCACCACTCTTGGTGGTGGAGCGGCCAGGGGGTATGTGGCAATTCCTCAGGTTGAGTGTGCTATGGAGGTTAATCCGCGCAGCGCCTCTTCTTGGCGGGGTCTGCCTCGTCTCCCATCCAAAGCCTGTGAGTTTTCGGCTCCCTCGGAGCTAGAGCTTACAAAGCTACGGACCAGGCTGCATCCGCCTTGCATGCGATAGCCACCGACCAGCGCTACCAAGCGCAGGCGCTGGCCGAGTTGCACGAGGGTGGGTCCAACCCAGGCTTATGAGCTTCGCACCGCAGCCGACTAAGCTCTTCGGACTACTAAGTCCGCTGCGTGTGCTTTGGGGAGGACGATGTCCACACTAGTGGTCCAGGAGCCCCACCTCTAACAAAACTTGGTTGATATGCGCGAAGTTGACAAAGTCCGCTTTCTTGACTCGCCCATATCCCAAGCTGGTCGGCGACACAGTCTGCGAATTCACCCAGGAATTCGAGGCAGTGAGTGAGCAGTCCGATGGGTGATGTCTAATCGGCGGCCCCGTAAGCCCGCTCCGCCCGCCGTGCCATCCATACCTGCTCCTCGCCGAAGGCGCCCGCCTACGAGAGCTGCACCGCCCCCGCACTCGCCTCTGGCGAAGCGAGCGCATCGAGCACCTCGGAAGCAGGCAACTCCCCCTGCCCAGAACGCCGCTAAGTCTGGCAACGGACCGCGAAGCGTCCCTGGGACAGGTCATCTGGAGAGGAGGGAACTTGCTCTTTCCCTGCTGGAGGGCGGGGCGCCATTTCCAACGGCACCTTTTACTGCCATGAAATGAAAGGGCACTTTTCCACTTCTCCGAAGGTGACAGCCCGAAATCTGCCAGTTTGAGCTCAGCTCTCTAGCTCGTAGGTTCGGTGCACTCCGCCAGTGGCTCACGGGCACTGCAGGCCCTGCCAGCCTGGGACGCGCCGCCTCTCAGCTCGCAAGGTCTGCATGCTCCGCCAGCGGCTCACGGGCGCTGGGGGG